CAAAATAAAGCAAAGAACTTTGAACACATATCGCCATGGACTGGTCTAAGCCTCTTTATACGTGTCTTGAGAAACAAACTCATAAATCACCTTCTTCTGGAATTCTAAAGAACACCTTACTGTGTCACTGTTGTGTATGAAGAATGGCGAAAAAGGTAACACGTCATTATCTGCAAGGAAGATAAACCCAGACTGCAGCGTGCCAGGATTGCCGCTGTGATCGTGTGTTTTCGCGCTAAACTTGCAGATCGCTAACAGTAGGAACGGTTCTTCGCAGTAGTTTACGTCTGAACTCATATAGGCTGTATTTCGGCCTCGTGTCGCATGCAGAGGTGAAGGACGTCCGCTGGGATCAAGGCATTGCATTATGGAGCCGCATGGACCTTCGTTGCGCATGATTATCAGTTTTTTGCATGAAGCTCGACCACTTTCCCAGCGAATACTAGTTCACTGAAAAAATGCACATTTGAAGGAAGTTGAAGAGGATTATGAAAATTGCAAAATGCAGGCGCTTCTGAATTGACTATAAAATTGAGTATTTGTTATGTCTGCGAAAAGGGAATTTCATCTCCAAGCTGAAATAAGACCACACGTGAATTTAGAATATTCCCGCAAAGTTTCATTTCATCAGCTTGTCTGGTAAGCGAAATAGCCACATCGCTGCAAACATCTTTGAAGTCCCCTAAGTCGTGGTGCAAATGCAAATCAAAGCTCAGTTTAGGTATACGATTTTTATTTCAATAATTAACGTTCTGACAAAAGTACAGCTACTGTTTTCCGGCTAATTTTCGAGTTAGCACAGTGCCAACTACGAACTTTGACGCTACTGTACGCGCGGTATGAGCGTGTGCGATAGTTGTACTTAAAATCTTCAACTCATATATGCACAGGGAATATTCCCCTGCAAAGTTTCGCCTTTCCATCCTGTCTCTTTCACGAAATTTTTCCCTCCAAACAAATCTGCATATTTTTTCGGGGTCCGTACGCAGGTTTTAATACGTTTATGAGCGAAGGTTTTAATACGGGAGGGTGACACGTGGGATGGAAATATCACCCCAAAATTTCAGCTTCCAGCTTTCCTGGTTGCTGGGTTGAAAGTGAGTGAAACACTAATGAGAATACAAGCTAAATGCAAAATAACAATCATTTATGCAGTTATCGAGCTGATTGTTTTAAGTCTGGCGCAAAAATTCACGATCACCCCAGCAAGCCGTGCGTTACAACTTAGAGTGTTTGAGGCAATTTTTCAGCGTAAGATGTTGTATAATGGTATCTTACTGAAAGGTTTTTTGTTAGGAATTAACTATTTAACAAGTTCAATAATCTATTTAGAAAAATCGCGGAACTTACCCTCTCCTTCCTCCACCAAATTTCAAATACTGCGTTTCTCTCAAAAAAGCTCCATTTAAAGAGCACACCCAAACTGTAAGGTAAGGAGCACTTCTGAAAAAAAAAATTTCAGGAGATTCGGGAGACTTTC